AAATGAGCTGGGATTCACTGATGTTGTATTTGCATTCATATCATCACTGTCAGTTAGATGTAATATTACTATGATCTTAATAAAACATTTGAGAGCAGTGCCTGTCTTAGTTTGTTATTTACTCTTAAATAAAAAACCCTATTGTGTTTGACAGGAAGATTTTTCATTTTGTGCTTATAGGAGACAAAATTGCCTGCAGGGCAATTTAGCCCTACTAATGAGTGTGTTTTTCTTTGTTAAATAAATATGTGGTGAAAAATAGCCGTCTAACTGTAAATTGAAATATTGAGTAGAAAATAAAATCGTTATTAGTGCTTGGTTCATTAAGTTGACTGTAGAAGGTGTATAAAAAGATATAAAGTTTTAAAAATAACTTAATAAAAGTAAATAAACTGCAAATATTTTTAGATAAGTCATAATTGAGTTCAGGTTAGAAGGTTTTCTGATGATACACAGTCTGTCCACTGACCATCTGATGCATATTGCACACAAAACTTCTTACCAAAGGTCAGGGAAGAAATTTTGGATAAACTCCATGATTATTTTACACTACACAAAAAATTTTAACATGCAGTTTTAAAAAATTCAATGGGGGTCATGAAGGTGTAGATGGAAGCCCATCATTTTGTTCTTTTTTTCCAATATAGACACTGGTTACTGACTTGTATATAATGTACATGGTGTTCTGTCTACATAAGAATAGATACAAAGATCGGTGAAAATAAATGAATACCAAACAGAAGTATAACTTCATGTTAAACTGAAAGGGTGAAAACTGAACATGGTGTGGGAGGCAGACTGTCTTTGACTTTCATTAGGTGTAGGCCTAGTCCTCAATCATTTCATCATTCACTCACGCTCTGTGATTGTGGCCAATTCAAGCAATGAATAGAGGAGGAAAGTAAGCCTGACTGTTTGTCACCAGAGCTGTTCCTTTTGTGTTAGTAAAGTAGTAAACTCGTATTTTCTAGAACAAACATGTATAGGAAACATGGCGGCCAATATAATTAATATTAAATATTGCAATATGATGCTTTCTCCCCATGCGTGCATTTAAATATATTTGGTACACTAAAAGTGTCTAGGAAGTATGAAATTGTGCGTGTTATGTACATTGTGTATTGTATGTATGTATGTATGTTTGTGTGTGTGTGTGTGTGTGTGTGTGTGTGTGTGTATCCATCCATCCATCCATCCAACCAACCAACCAAACAACCAACCAACCAACCAACCCAGAGTTTGCATGTCTGTGTCTCTACATGATTTTGGTTTCTCATTCGTAACAGACTTTTCTTTTGGCATCTTCATTTTTAAGGTTATGTGAGATTCAGTCCTAGAGATAATTGTTAAATCTGATCAATTTTCAATGGCCAAAAACCAAATGTGGGTCACTGTGCAATGCATACAGCTGGCTTTCTTCTTTATTTCTATATTTGTCCATGTCTTTCACCAGACCCTCTGGCTGTGTTGACACAGAATTACCCTATAAGCATTTTTATGATATATATTTTAAAATGCTTAATTTTTTTTATTTTTAATCAGAAAAAAAACATGTGCTGTGAATTAATTACCACTGTATATTGCTCTTCTAAAATTAGTCATAAAGAATTCAATGAAAATGCATGTGTTTATACGTCATTATATTATTTTTAGTATTTTTAATTACTATTTTAAAATAATTGTAAAAGATTAGTGTTTGGAAGATGTTTTAGTTCAGACTGTATGCATATTATTTTTGGGGGCAAGTGCAGTAACTGTTGAAGCAGTGCAGTGTATTGAGAGTATTCTGTTATTAATGGAGATTATTAAGATTCCTGCTGAGTGTCAATATGCAATGCGGTGTGAGTCTCTTGGCCCCTCTCCTCTCTATTGTTGCTTTATTGCACAGGCAATACCGAGGGTTGTGCTCATTTGTATTTAACATCTTTCTCTTGGCAATGGGCGTCCACAAACACTGGCGAAATAAAGCTATAATGGTGCACAATAACCACAGACAACATGATTCATTTCACTGCTGGTAGAGTAAGCATTCTCTACAACGTTTTAAATGCTAAACAACAACGTTCAGTTCATCCAGTCCTTGGCTCTGTTTCTACTATGCAAGTTTTTTATTATTGCAACAGTGTGAGCTATTTGCTCAGAATCCATAAATCATAGGAAAACAAAAATGTTTTCCTATGTATACCTTGCAGTTTAGGAGATGGATGCACATACGGACAGCTCTCCCATCTGGATCATCGAGAAAGCCCAACACAATTAAGCCCAAAATATCTCTCACAGATTCCACTCTGCAGGAAGTACAGACAAGTTATCAAGTGCCCAGTATGCAACTGTCTGGACGGCCAGGATCATCTAGCATTGCCTTCCCAGATACGTCAGCATGCCGTCTCTGATGTGTCAACCTGACCTTACATATGCACTTTTATTTTAAAAATAAATGTAATCTTCTCTTGTCCTTTTCTGCTAAAGATCAGATTGATGAAAGCGACTAACCTTGATCTTAGCCAGTGAAGCAATATTACAGTGGCTGCGTTATGAAAATGTATTCTGAAATATTTTGTGGTTAGCTCATACTGTCGATTGCTTGGGTCCCCAGGGCTGCGTCCCAAAAGAACACTGAGGACGGTGCTGTGGTCCGCAGAGGAGCCAGGCGGGGTGGGAGCTGCTCAGTACTTCCAACAGCACAAAGTACACTTCCCTATCATATTAACACTGTTATGTTCTGTTGGATGATTTAGAACAAGGGTGTCAGATATTTGAAGATGTAATTATGTTAATTAAGTTCATTTATTATATTGGAATGAATATTTGTAATGTTCTATTTTCATATACAGCGGGACAGGTAGGCAACAATCTTTAATTTGTTGTGTTGCAAGTAGCTCACAACTTACAGCTTTGACACCGTTAATTTAATTACATGTGAAGAGAAGTAATAAGTAATAAATTAGTTCATTTATTACGTTTCCACTAAATAATTGTTAATAATTAAAGTAATTGTGAAATTGCCTGTGATGCATTAATATTAATTGTATTTATTTGATTTAAATCAGTTTTACAATTCATTTTCCTTTTTTATGCCTAAGTTTGTTAATGTTTGGTTTCAGATGGATTATTGTTGGTTAGTTAGTTAGTTAGTTAGTTAGGTAGTTAGTTAGTTAGTTAAGCCACGAGCAGTAATTTGTTTATTTTTATTTTTTTCTTCAGTGTTCCATTTGCCAGTGTTGTTGTTTGGAAATATTCACTAATTGCTAAATTATTATCTGTCAGTGATTTTTTTTTTTCTCATCTGATTAATTTGTTCATAAAGGCATTAAAATGCTATCATGCATACATTGACCTGAATACACCTCTTCTATGAATAGCATGTTTTTCATTTTGGAATTAAATTCACCTTGATATATATTTTTTTCTGACATTTAAGTAAAAAATGTCAGGGTGAGACAACTGTCCTGAAATCATAATGTAGAAAAAGAGCCTCATTAAAGGAATGAATATCTTGAAAAGAAAACCTTATTAAGTAGTTTGGCATAATCTCTTTTTCTTCTTCTTCTTCTTCTTATTATTATAAAAACTTTAAGCCAACAGGCAGAAACATGCTGGGAAAAATTTTCATAGAGAGGACCCCTGTGGATCCTTATGACAATGTTTCAAGGTCAATAAGTCTTTCAAAGAATCAAATAATGTGACCTTTTCTATGATAAGTTGAGGTTATTTCAGGCGGTAAAATGCCATGTAGTGCAACTGAAAAATCGAATGATGTGAATTAAAGGTAACACTTTAGTATAGGGACCAATTCTCACTAGTTGCTTATTAGCATGCCTATTATTAACATATTGGCTGTTTATTAGTACTTATAAAGCACATATTCTGCATGACCATATTCTACATCCCTAATCCTACCCAATACCTAAACTTAAAAACTACCGTACTAACTATTAATAAGTAGCAAATTAGCAGTTTATTGAGGCAAAAATCATAGTTAATTGCTTGCTAATAGCGAGATTTGGACCTTAAAATAAAGTGTGACTGAAATAATTCATTTTAAATGAAACTGAATAATTTATATAATTGATTTATTTACACCTCATGATATTTTATAGTAATTATATTGAAACCTTTCTTGCAAAACTTTCAAAACCATATGAAACCAACATGAATACAAAGAATACTTCCTAAGAAGCTTTTTTGAAAGATATTTTTCTATAATTTATCATGGACACTCGCCTTGTACTGCGTCTGTAATCTAAAGTGAATGCGATTAGTGAATTCCATATATGTTTACCCCAATATAAGTTATTAGTTATTAGTCCAACATAGCTTGTGACCTTCTAGGAGTTTGACACCCTTGTTCTAGAATGTGCCACAGCTCATCTGAGTTGTCTGTACTAACAATCTATGGCATGTTTTATGTATTTTAAAAACTGTTTGCAAATGTTGTTATATCAGTTAAGCACAGAATGTTTCAGAAAGTTAATGTAGACTTTGTAAGTAAGCACATTTTGCTCTGTTCGTTATATAAGTGCTCTTTTGTCCTTGAGAGCATTTTTGAAATCTTTCATCAAAGAATTGGATGGATTTTCTCTTTTATCCTGAAAGCACACAGTACCCTCACAATTAGTTCTGTTTAGAATTATTTAAATGGCTTATTTTACTGTCTTGGGTTATGGCATCTGACAAAAAGGTTTTACCAGGTTTGTGTGGTTTCTATTTTAATGGTGAAAGTACTCTCAGAGTTGATCCTAATTTTAGCAGGAGGAGCAAATTGGCTGAAATTTCCCACACAAACCCAAGTGCTGTGGCACCCATCCATCTAGCTTTTATTTCTGGCAATAATGTTTTACTTGGACTCTTCTGGTTTTGGACCGAACAGTGCAATAAACCGTATTTGTCAGGTCTGTGTGCTGTAAAGTGATACTTTATGGTATGGAATAATTTAGCCAGCAGTTGGACTTGAATCTCCATTGTATCTGCACATTGCCATGGGATTTCGTTTTTACTTTATGAGGTTGGATTCTGATCAGAGAGCGGTGGTTTTAGGCCAAGCAGGATTCAAATGCTGCGTTTTGACCACTGACCCAACTTTTTACTGTATTGCATCCAATTATGTAGATAGTTGGTAGAACTTTGTATGACTTGGGCTGGCAATTCACAGTTGAGAATGAAACCAACCATCATTAAAAATATATATAAAAATAAAAAACTTGTGCATACAAGAACCCAGATTAACAAAAAATCATGTATTGCTTTATAATATAATATAATATAATATAATATAATATAATATAATTAGGGCTGTCAGTCGATTCAAATTTTAAATCTAATTAATTACATGATGTTTTGATTAATTAATCTAATTAATCGCAAAATTAATTTGATTGTGGAAATACCCACAAAAGATTATTTAAAGCTATTTTTGTGTTAAATGAGAAGGGATCAAGTAGACATTACAAATTGTAGCTTTAGAAATATTTTATTTGATTCAACATAAAATGTATTACACATAAACATTTAGGCTATAACGGCCTAACATAAACTATGGAACATAAAAGAAGATCATTTGAGAAACATCTCAGTATTTTTTGTTCATACAATGAAAGCCATTGGTAACCAAAACAGCTTTGTTACCAACAGTCTTCAAAATACCTTCTTTTATGTTTCACAAACGAAATGTTTGAAACGACATGAGGGTGAGTAAATGATGACAGAATTTAAATTTTTTTGGGTGAACTATCCCTTTATTTTGTTTATTTTTAATTATTATTATTATTACTATTATTATTTTTTTTTTTAATAATCTAAATAAGAATAAGAAATAAATAAGTAAATAAGAAACTAAATCTGCCAGCAGGTGGCGGTAAATGTCTTTATGAGTCATTCATTCATTCATTGAACGGCTGATTCATTCAGGAATGAAGTAAATGGGCTGTTTATGAATAGGCCTTTGAATCATTGATTCACACAATTCGTTCAAAACACATTCATTCAGAAACTAAACACCGCTGTGTTGCTCGGAGACGTGCAACAATTCTGCTGTGGCTTTAAAGCAAGTGTGAAAAAGGCTAATTATGTTCTCTGCAAAATTGAGCAAAAAAACAATATTATGTTTAAAAGATAACACAGTATCAACTTCTTATTTACTGAACTGTTGTATAAAACCACATTTAAACTTGTGATATTTGAGACAAACAGCACTATTGTGATATTGCTTATCAGGGGCGCCGTAAGGGGGGGAGGTTAGGACGAGTCCAAGGGCCCGGCGTTAGAGGGGGGAACGTGATTTCTAAAGAGGGGAACTATAAATATGAGACAAAAACACATATAGGGGCATTTTTGCACCAATATCTTGAATATTAGGGCATAACTGTCATTTATGGAGTTGTTGCCCTGCATCATATTTGTCAACAGTCAACTGTATGAAATGTAAGATGACGTACAGGTCTGGGGGCGGGGCCAGTGCATTAACTGCGTTAAAATATTTTAATCGCGTTATTTTTTATAACTAATTAATTAAGTTAACACGTACGACGACGTTTTAGTGCCACGTTAAAAAAATAAATAATCTAAGATCACGAGATTAAAGTCGTAATATTTAGAGAATAAAGTCGAAATTACGAGAATAAAGTCTAAATATTTCGAGAATAAAGTCTAAATATTACGAGAATAAAGTCGAAATGTTTCGAGAATAAAGTTGAAATACTACAAGAATAAAGTCGAAATATTTTGAGAATAAAGCCGAAATGTTTCGAGAATTTAAATCGTAGAAATTAAAGTTATAATATTTTGAGAGTATAGCCTTTATTGCGCATGCAAATGGGCCGTATTGAGAGCACCAGGAGAAGTTGCCAGGCCACCGGAATTGATTTGAATATTGTTGCGTCCGAGCGGCTGCATCATCTTACTGGAATGAGGAAGAGTCCATTTTAAGGACTCGCGGATGATATTTATTAACAGACTGAGCAGGAACAACTTTTTATCTTAACTTCAGCTCACACACCCAATCGACATTCCTTTTGGGGGGGGCGCTGTAGCTCTCTTATTTAACCTTTTTTTAATACACTACAAATATACAGGTATGTGGGATTATTAGCAGAAATCATACCATGTGTCATACTCGCGGGGACAGTATGCTTAGAAATAATATTTCATGTCTTCCATTGCATTTGTTATTTGTAGTGCACCAGCCACCTAATAGCAATAAGCTTTGTGCTTTTGGTAGGCCTACTTTTAATAAGTCTCAGCTTTCAAAATCAGTTTTATAGCGAAACACAAATTATGTGTCTTACAATAATGTGTTTTTCAAACTCTTTAATGATCAGATCGCTGTATTTATGTGAACCAATTCATTAAATTATACTGTTTTCTTTGTGAAAATTCCAAATTTGTGAAAATTCCACCACCTACTCCGCAAAAACGTCTGTAGCATCCAAACTTTTATTCCTCACATGTAGCCTATTTAATTAATA